CAAGATTTGCTCAGGATAAATTGAGTATATATTGACATGTGCTGATGTCTGGAGTAGGAAGACAAAGGCAGGTAAGTGTGATGTTGAAGACATATCCTCTGTTAGCCTTAATATATACTTGCTGGCATCTCTCATGCTAAATGGGAAATCTTTAGGTTTGTACGCGTGAAACAATGCATCGTGAGGTTTGAAAACACGGCAATTTCTGCGTAACATTCTTTATTCATACCGTTCCAATAACTCTCCGTGGCCGAACAACGTATTTAACACACGCATGTATCGTTTACAATTCAGTGCAAACCTGACCATGACCACCACCCAGAGGAGAGGAACACAAATATTATTCATGTCAACTTTTGTCTCCTGTGTCCATTTCGACTATTGCAACCATGTCGGAGAATTGGGACGTCAACTGAGCAGATTGTTACTCAGAATGTATCTTAGATCACAACACAAGTTGTTTATTGTGACACACGGGGGAGCGGGGGGGGGGGATTTTCAAACATGCTGCACTTCCCTGTTGTTTGATCGTGTTGTATTTGTCGTTCACACAACCGTCTGTGAAGCCACTTGTCCCCCAGTGTGCCTGCACTTAAGTCAGGGCACTTCTTGCCTTTGCTCCTTCCACTTGGCAGAAACATATGTGGCCTTGAAAAACAAACAAAACAAAAACTCCTCTGAGTATAAATCTATATTTGCATTTGGTTTGGGAAGCCACCATGGATACAAAGAAAAGCATATGATTAATGGGCTGCAGCTGGTAATTATTTAGATTCACTATTCCTAGTGGTTTAGAAAAATGCTAATCCAACGTGGCGCTAATGTTAAAATTCATGAATGTAAAAATAATGGTCACACTTCTACTATGAGGATGATGGCGTGGTATAATGGTTAGCACACCGGACTTGCAATGGTGGCGAGATATTAACTACCTCGCCTGGTATGCAGGAGGTTGTGGTTTTGTTCCCGACCCTGATGCGTTTATATTTGGAGTATCCCCATGGTCACCTGTATCTTTCTCCGGGCCCTCCGGTTTTTTTCCTCTTCATTTAGAAACAAGCGTTCAGATTATTTGGCTGCTATGAATTTCCACGTGATAAGCCACTTCGTTGAGCTATCATCTGTGGCCAGGTCGCTTCTGAAAAAGAGCTATATAGTTCAGTGGGCCTTACCTGGTAGAATAAAAAGAAATAGTTGTTTAATTTAGCAATGAAGAGGTCACTGGTCCAATCGCTCCGCACAAATAGTTGATACAACTGATACATTTCTGAAAGTTAGTTGAACGGCAGGTAGTGGGGTAAAATGTGGGTACTCCCACCTGTTCCAAGACGTCTGGCCAGCGTAGCAGAGTCCAGCCAAATACTCTCTAGAGTGGCTCTCCATCTCGTTGAGGCCTCCACCACCTGCAGTGGAAAGTGAAAGCAACTGCAGGGCTGCGCGTTTACCTTCCACTGTGAATCATGTGCACTGAATGTTGATGGCTGCAAATCCTGTTTGCTGGCACAAGCACCAAGGCAGGTTGCAAGGGTTGTACGGTTGACCCCTGCTTTTGTGGATAACCTCTACTCAGCAATGCAACAAGCCATTGTCAGAGTGTGCCATACAATGCAGGGTGACATTATAATATCTTGCAACATCAACTGCCACATTGTGCCAATGTCAATCAAATTTTATTTTATCTTAGAGAGTTATCTTCATTTTCTTTGAACAGTGGTATCTGAACCGGTCCTAGGCCTCCATAGGTCGACTCGGCCGCAGTGTATAAACATGAGCACCGGTGAGACAAAGGTTGCCTGTAGCGACTGGACACTCTGTGGTGTTGTGCACCATGCCAGCCGCAATAGGTAATCGCTGACAGCACGTACCCGAACACTCTCTGAGGCTATGCAAGAGGGCTAAGGGTTTTCTGATTTGTCTGCAGAACTTCAAAATAGTAATTTTTTATTCAGCTATAAATATTATGCTAGAATTGGGATTTTCCCCTTTTTTTCTGGCAACAAAACTGAAACCTTTTTATGAGGAATCATGTCTACATGTACCACAATACTTGTGGTCAGAATGCAAACAAAAAACATAATCTGATAATATATGCATTGTCTTTTAAACTGATTGGTCCACACCAGAGGCAGCTTTCTTTTGAGCCTCGTCTCAAACGGTGTTAGACCAGAGGACGCCAAAAGGGGGACAAACGCGTGGATGAAGAGGAAGCAATGGGGAGACAAAGGTGGCCAGGCATATTCCTGGTCACACCACTCCCCTGTGTGGCATTTTTTTCTTTGATCACGGCTGCTGAGCACAGGTCCAAATCGCCAAGGTTGTAACAATTTGGGAAAAGAGACGATAGGAGGGAATTTCTAAGTTGAGTCATGTGAGCAGAAAGATATGTCGTGTGACCTATACCGGTGGTTAGTCGCCTACTTATCGCTCTTGTATTGCTACTGCCGTGATTGCTATTCCAATCAACTACCTTAGTGAGTTGACGCTCATTACCAGCACTTTCTGCTTTTGTCTATGAAGTGTAAACAAGGGATATGTGTCTCTTTGTGTGTGTGCACGTGTTCTTGTGCGTGTGTGGAGAGCGGTACTGGCATATCGTATAGCGCGCTGTGCTACGAACCTGGTGCCTCGAGTTCGATTCCACTCTCGGCCAACAGCAGTGGTGATTATTTAAACCGGTCCTGGGCCCTCCTAGATCGACTCTGTCTCAAATGAGTACCTTGTACGGTGTGTAAACATTGCCACTGAGGACACGAATGCGACCGGGAGTGATGCTGGTCACCCACGTCCTCGTGTGCCGTGCCGGCGTTTATAGGTGCTCACTTACAGCACTTGCCATAACAGTCTGTTAAGGCTATACGGGGGATTTTTGTATTTTGTATTTGTCTTGTGTGTGGGTGCCTGTGCACGTTTTTGCACGCATGCATGTGAGTGTTCTAAAATCTGATATCGATTTAAGGCAAAGCTTGGAAAGTGGTGTAGAATGTTCTGATGACACTGGATACATGTTCTAGCTCATATGTCAAACTTCTTTGTTTTCATGAAATTAAAACGGAGTAATACATTCAGCTTGTAGGCGACAAGTGAAGATAGTGATTTATCATTTAAGCTCCATCAGTACGTCTGCCAAATATGAAGAAGCAACACAGCAAGATTCAGCCACAACAACAGCAGCGATGAGTATAACATATAACTACGATTATTCACCTTCACCCAGGAAAGCCTCGCTGATGTCCCTGCGTCGAGATGTCTCCTAAAGTAGTGTTTTGCATGCGGGATGAAACCAGAGTGGCCAGAGAATAGCCACACTTACAAGGGGACACTTGCTGGACTGCCATCTGATGTTAACAATATTGGGAGTTTCATACATTTTCATTGTTGAACCTTTTTCGCACCGTACGTAGCCAACCGTGCTAATCCGAGGTGCGGGCCAGAACAGATTCGGATATCGCTCACCACCGACGTTAGCATTGGCCAGGAATCGAACCCAGGTCTCACATGGTTCACAGTGCAGCATGCTAACCACTGCGCCACTACCCCTACAGGAGAAGTCTTGCACGGTTGTCCGCAGACAATAAGAGTTCTTTTTTGCAGACCCTACAGCTGTGGCACATGATATGAGTCATGGATAAGTGGAGTTATCCCGTGTCCCATTATTATTGTGGACGATAATCGCTTTCACTGTTAACCTTGTGTCGGATGTTAGCATGAGACGAGCGGTCTAACCTGTCACATCACGTTCGTCCCACCCACGCTGGGGGAAACGCCGACCCGTGGTGCCACCTCCATTCTCTAGCACACGGTCCACACAGCTCTACTAACCCCCTCCCATCCACTGCGAGCTAGTTGGTAACAACTCCACGGTCCCGTGCCAGGGAGCAGTCTCTCCGGACAACAACCGTGGTGGCCTGCCTGTCACGCGATGTGTGTACGTTCAACTTATTTCGCACCATACATAGCCAACCATGCTAAACAGAGATGCGATACCCGTGATGCCTTCTTAAAGTCGGGATGCCAACCACCTCGCTGGTAGCCCTCACCAGACTTGCTCTGCGTGTGCTCTCCACATTGTGAGGCAGGACTGTGGCCTATTGCACACCTAGCGCAGTTAAAAAAATACAATAATGCCAGAATATAAGTTTTAGCTTAATGGTCGTGCAGGAATCGATTGATGGCACAACCCTCTTTAATCGTACAGTGGTATCTGTCAAAAGAGAAAGTTAACTGCCATGCTGCTAAATGGTAAAAAAACATACATTATAAATACGCTTTAGGATGGTGATTTGACTAGTTATCAGCACACTGGCTAAAGTTTCAGCCAGTTTTCGTTTTACGATGAACGATGCGATTATCACTACGATCGTTGTTTTTTTGTCACCACTATCAAAGGATTAACTACATTTTAGGCTTGTAACATGAATGGATATTTAAGACTCGGTGATATAATTGGGAGAGTAAAGCATTCTGCTATGCAAGGTGCAATCCAAAAGTTATATTTTAAATGTATGGCATTTCACTCGTATAATCAGTGTTTAACTGCCGTATTGATGTGCGGGCTTCTTGGCAAATTGGCTGCCATTTAGTGACTCAGATGTGAGTTGTTTCAGCCCAACAAGTTTCAGTTGTGGCTGCTCCACACAGCAGCAATGCGGCCTTCATCAGGGGGTGATGCTTGGTTTCTGGCACTGCACACATCGCCTGCTATCCAGTCTTGCTGTGTCGTCATTCAAAACGATGTCACCATGTGACAGTTAATTGTGGTATCGCTTTCCCAACAATCATTACTTGGCTGAAGATATATTCGTGTACAGATGACTGCAGAACCCAGGCAATTGTTGGTGCTGGCTCACCGCTTCACTGCTGCCTTGCGGCTTGTCTGTGGCTTCTCAGCGATCGTTCGTATTACCGTGAAGCAACGGTCCCATTTGTTCCGACCGACCATTCCCAACTACGCAGTGTCTTGACCTTTCGCCCTTTGCTTCCCGCGTGCCTCTCTTCCCCAGTTTGCTCGCAGTTTTCGCGTGGCGTTTTTGCCATTTTTGGCTTCTACGACAAGAAGTCGGTGAACACGCTGACGTCGTTCTGCGGCGCCCTGCACGTGTCCTTCATCACGCCCAGCTTCCCGGCCGAGGGAAACACGTCCTTCATCCTGCAGCTGCGGCCGTCGATCACCATCGCCCTGCTCGACCTCATCGCGCACTACAAGTGGCGTCAGTTTGTCTACCTGTACGACACCGACCGAGGTGGGCCCGTGGCGCCACCGCGCTGCTCTTGAGTGTGACGGTGTGCGCGTGCTGTGGGGGTTGTGGCGGTGTGCGCATGTGGCAGTGTGTGCGTGTAGGGAGCGTGTGGGGAGCGTGGCGGTGTGTGCGTGTAGGGAGCGTGTGGGGAGCGTGGTGGTGCGCTTGTGTGGGTAGCATGTGGGGAGCGTGGCGGTGTGCGTGCATCTGGATCGTGGCGTTGGCTGTAGTGGAGCATTGAGTGCATATTGCCATTGTTACGTTTAACTATTTAAGTTTGAACAGGTCAGGCCCACTGAGCTATGTAGCTCTTTTTCAGAAGCGATCTGGCCGCAAATCATAGCTCAAGGAAGTGGTATGTTACGTGGACATTTATAGCAGCCAAATATTCTAAACGCGTGACGTTGATTCTAGGTGTGGAGGAAAATAACAGAGGACCCCGAGAAAGATCTACATGACCACGGGTAGAGAAAACATGCAAACTCCAAATATACAGGCATCGTCAGGGTGGAGTTCTAACCCACGACCTATTGCATGCAGGGCGAGGGAAATTACATCAACAGAAGAGGCTTGATTGAAGCTTACTCTACAACTTTGATTTAAAGCTTTCGTGACTGCAGGGATTAATATTCTTGGTTCTTTTGGTAAAGTCACGTAGAAGGGAAACAATAAAATAATAAAAATATAAAACAATACAATTATCACGACGTTTCGACTGCAACACAAGCAAACATCATCAGGTGTGAAAACCACAACAATATTTTTTTATGAAAAGTGGTGGTTATATATTTTTTTGTCTCCTCCTCCTCTTTTCCAAACATAGATGGACTCGTCCATCTGAACAAACTGTCAAATCTCTCTCCGTGGTGCTAACGTTAAAAAAATATATAACCGCCACTTTTTTTTCAAATTTTCATGTTGTGGTTTTCACACCTGATGATGATTGCTTGTGTTGCAGTCGAAACGTCGTGAAAAATTTATTGTTTTATATTTTTATTGTTTTATTGTTTCCCTTCTACGTGACTTTACCGAAAGAACCAAGAATATTACTCTACAACTGTTTATGGCAGTAGGGTTTTGGAAAGTTCTCATCGTCAGCCATGGTCAATCCACTCTGGACGAAGGCCTCCCAAATTCCATTGGCGATCTCTCGCGACCCTGTGATATAATAATTCACTTAGCACCGTACAATATTGCTAACCTCAACAAAACACAGATAATGTTTTCAGTAATTAGTTATCTTCATTTCTGACATCTTGGGGTTTAAATGTCTCTTCGGCGTCTTATTTAAAACAAAATAATCGTGGTCATTTCATTAACAGCAACAACAACAAAAAGACACTTGTAATTTTGAAAAGATGAGCCGGGGATTGTTGCTTCCTCAAAAATGAGGTCGTGAGCCACCGCTCGGCACGGGAGACACGAGTCCCAGGTGTGTGTGTGTGGTCCCCCTGAGCCGTCAACTGTGGAGCCAGACTGCTGTGGTGGCATGTAGCTAAGGGAGGCATTACGTCTGCACCCCACCCCCACCCAGCAACTAACCCAGTGGCTCCTCCCCACCGAGAAGCAAAACTCGTAACACGGAGAGATTGCTCTCAGTGTGTTACCTCTGCTTAAATTAGTGTCCAGCTGCTTCAGCTCCGTTTGTCTGTGTGGCTGGGCGGCATGCCAGCCGCAAAGGAGTGCGGGTAATGGCCAAGAGCGCTTATCCCATTCCGATGACATACGTGTACGTGTACGTCATCAGTTAATCTTCCAATTCCGTTTCGATGGCATGCCTGTACGCACGTGTATGAATGTCATCGGAATGGAATCAGAACTAAAAAGGTCATGCCGGAGGGCGTATGGCACAGTTTGGCGTCAGGTATCGTAGAGTGTGGTCATGCCACTACAGTGAAACGGACCCACCCTGCAACTTGCAGACATCTCAGAACATGAAAGAGTTAGCAACAACAATAATAACAAGAACAAGAAGAAACCCCCATACGGTCTGTTTCACGCGATCGTGTCACAATGGCGTGATTCATGGGCAAATATTTTGTTCAGCAACAAAGTCAGAAGTCAAGAGTTATTACCCTTTCTTTGAGGGAACCGGACAGTGCTGCCCAATATGAAAGGGATTCCAGCATTCCAGGGATATATTTTTGGGATCCTTATTCGACAAATGATACAAAGGATAGCTGATTGAGTCACAGCTACTGTCTAGGAGTGGATCCTTGCTCTTGAGCTACATTATGTATACCTGTGACCTTGTGATTGCACCACATTTCAAGAGAAAACGAGTGTCTACTGTGGCCATGAGAGCTGTTTATAAAGACGTTGTACCGTGCATCACCCCACCAAACAATTTGCCTGGTCAAGTGACACCATGAAGCTCTAGGCCATCGAATTTATTCATTTACAATAGAAAGATCATGAAGATTATGATGCAACACATACTTACGTGGCTTCCTCATTGATGGCAGACCGTGATGATCTATTTCCACATTGGTCAGGGTGCAGCATCATTTCATCATCTGTGTACGGTGGTGTAGAGGTTACCTGGCATGTCAATGCACAGATGATTCATTATAGTTGGCAAGAGATGTGACACTGCTCCTCCTCTGTGCTTGTGTGATGATGTGGATCCCTTGCAAGGACATCTGGTGCTCCGCGGAAAACGTCAAACTGAACCGTTTGTGGAAGATAAAGTCTAGGTTGTCACAAGTGCCAATGCAGTTGCTAGATTACTCATTAATATATTTAATGAAGGAATGCTGTCATGGTGTGTAATGGTTCTCACACTGGACTTGCAATCCGGAGGTCGCTGATTCATTCTCCCAGCATTGCAGTTGAAACAATGGGCAAGTTTTTAACCCTTTTCCATTCCGAGATATCTGCAAGTTGCAGAGTGGGTGTCCCGTTCACTACTTAATCTCGGAACGCGCAAGCGTTTAGCTTAATTTAATTCAGAGAGGCATAGCGCCACTGTTTTTCAAGACATTGTACTCGTCACAAAGAACTGTCACGACACAACCGCATTCGATTATAGCCATCGCCAAAGTGTGCCACGCACCCTCCTACATGGCCTTGTGGGAGCCTCAATCTATCTTCTGACCTGAAGACGTCCTGATAAAGTTATTTTATTTATAAAATCTGATGTCGTACATGTACATACGTCTTTGGAATGGAAAAGGCTTAAATACCCTTCCCCACCAGATTGTATGTGCTGAGAGATAGTGGAAACTCCCACCTCTTCCAAGACGTCTGCCCTGCATGGAAGAATAGACGAAATACCTTCGTAAGGGGCTTTTTGGAGCTCCCACTTGTGGAAGCCCGCATGAGGTTTAGAGTAATGTCATGAAGAATTATTGTTATTATTATTATTTGTAGTTCCTCTCAATAAACACTGTCACACGGCATTGTGGGCCAATGTCAGGACAGCATCCTCACTGTGCACGTCAGACAAAATGTGCGAGAGAATCTTTTGGTGAGTGGCTGTTCAACGAGCAATTTAAGTAGACCACATTCTAATTACAATGCGCAATATTCACAGACTTCCACAACATTGCATGAGACAATGTAGATAGAGACCGACCCTGTGTAATTACTGACCAGTCAACAGATTGTGCTTACAGTTTAGTCTCATTTACTATTTATTTAAGCAACTATGCAAAGGATAATATGTGGTATACTATAGAAACACATGTTAAACTCGTGAAAACACATTCATAGATGTTTGCATTCAGATGTATACAAGGCAATATCTGGCCACTACAATAATTGACACAATAATTCTTAGTCACTGTGGATATTGAAATGCGGTTGTCCTGGCTTTGGATGTCATTTGTTTGTAGGCTCATCAGGCAGAAAAAGCTGCAGTGGTTGGACCGGGCAGTCTGAATGTTAATATTAATGTTCTTAAGCAGCATCTGCTTGGGCAGATCAAATTTGGACCAAATGGAGTTGATTGGAGTAGAGTGGACTTGCAAATAAGTGGTAACAGTAAGGCTAAGGATTTGAAGTTTTACGGTACTCTTATGCCTCAGAAGTTCAACACGCCTTACGTCATCACATCTCATCTCAACCATTCCAGTGCCTGGCTGTAGTCTAGCCGAGGGGACCCTCAGTGGAAGCTATCCCCACACAATGTCAACGCAACACTGGCCTTGAAATGAGCAATAGTCAGCCAGTAATAATCGTGCAAGTACCATATTGTCATTTATAAATTATGACAATTTTTGAGACTATGACCACAGCACACATAGCTTAGTTTTTTTTAGTAATGTCACAGGATCTTAAACGTCCACTGTGAAGCAGACTGCGTGTAATGTATTGTTTAATTCACCCTACTCGGCGATTCCCATTGGGTTTCGTGGATAGCAGCTTCCTTCTAGAGGAACATTGTTGGAAGCCAGTAACATGGTTCTCAAAAAAATGTCTGATATTACTGTGGTGATGAAGTTTGTTTTCAGCTGCAAATATTTTCCATGCTTGTCACTCCTTGTCCATGTATCTACATATCCTCTGTGATGGGAGGTCCGAAAGTTCGTAATGCAGAATATGTCAAAGCGAAATAAATGTAGTCAAGGAAAATAATCGTGAATGAGGTGTATATTTTTTGTGGAGAACAAGATATATGATCCTTATGTTGGTACCCCGGGGTACCAAATATTACAAAATGTCTGAGGCAATTAAATATTTTATTTCTCGGACACTATTTTTTTCCAGGGGTATACTCAACTCTGCAACTGGGGTACCAATCAATCCGAAATCAGTGCTGGTGATGGGGAATCCAGGCCATTATCTACCTTTCTCAGCGCTCTCAATGAGATCGAGGATTAAAAAAAAGTAATTTGAATCCAACTTCATCGCGACTAGCTGAGAGAAGCACATCCTCTCGTTCATGTCGAGCACGTCAGCATCAGCGGCAGGAGCGGTATCCTCCGCGGCAGGTGTCTCTTCCTCGGTGGCAGACCCATTATCTTCGGTGGCAGAAGCGGCGAAATTCATGACGGGTGCAT